GAAGTGCACACCCCAAATTTACTTTTTATCACCCAAAACAATTAGAATTTTTCAAAGTGTGCTGAAAGCACAGTATTTGACGGTTCTATTTGACTCTCAGATATGAAGTGCACCGCAGGATGCAAATGTACTATTTAGCACCCAAAACTATTAGAATTTGTCAAACTGCGCTGTAAGCACAGTGTTTGACAGTTCTAATTGACTCTCAGATATGAAGTGCACCGCAGGACACAAATGTACTATTTAGCACCCAAAACAATTAGAATTTTTAAAAGTGCGTTGTAAGCACAGTATTTGATGGTTCTATTTGACTCTCAGATATGAAGTGCACCGCAGGACGCAAGTGTACTATTTAGCACAAAAAGTGTGATTTTTTTAAACCAACAATGTAACAGTAGTATTCAAGGGTTTTTTTAGACTGCAAGAAATGCAGCACGCAAATGTACTATTTAGCACACAAAAAATTGCAGTATTTAAAAATGCCTAGATGTTGCCCACTGAGCTACCAGAACAGTATTAAAGTCATGTGTCTGGCACACATGCAGTTGCAAGTGCACTGCACCCTCTGTGGCACTGGGCTCAGGGCAGGGTACAAAAATGTAGTATAGCACCCACTAAAATAATCGCTGTAGTTTGAATAATCGCTGTAGTTTGAATAATCGCTGTAGTTTGCAGATTCAACACCATAATTCTTTCCTAATCTGTCCCTAACAGCTGCAGCATCCTCTCCCTACACTAATAACAGCTCATGTGACATGCGGTGCTACGTCACTCCAGCTTATTTAGAGGCTGGGTCGCATGCTGCACTGGCCAATCACAGCCATGCCATTAGTAGGCATGGCTGTGACGGCTTCTAAGGGCAAACGAGTCAAACGCTTGTTGATTGGCTGCCCTTCAGCCTTTCAAAACGCACCATTAAATCACCGAACACTGAACTCCAACCCGAACATACACTGAAATGTCCGTGTTCGGGTCTGGGGGCCAAAAACTGTAATGTTCGGTACGAACCCGAACTTTTCAGTTTGGGTTCGCTCAACTCTAATTGTGTTTGTGTTTAGGGGATTCCACACAAGGGTTGAGAATTACTTATCATTTATATACAATCTGACACTGTTTAAGTTAAGCATGTCAAACTCAAAGGCTAACACGTGACAAATAAAAATAAGGTTTACGTTTATGTGGGCTGCAAAAAAACAAAAACTTCAGTTTTCATAGAAACGTAAGTTTATTTAGAAAAGTACAGTTTTAAAAAAGTCACCTAACTGACACTGGATGTCCTCACGCTCGAAGGTATTGAAAGTAAACAAAAGAGCAATTTTTTTTTTTGGATTTTTTTTGCATTTGCATTTGCATTTGCATATAACCAATGTTTCAGTCCAACTACCTTGACATGTTAAGAAAAGCTTGGTAATGGGACTGAAATAGTGAATGTATGCTGTTGCACAGCTGTAAAAAACAAATGACGTTATCTTGTTGATTTTGAAGTCTTATGACTGTGTTCTTCACTTTTGTTGAGATTATCAAACGTGATAATGTCAGCCAATCCAATGCTTTCCCATAGGAAAGCATTGGGAGGCTAGTGTGCATGTGTGGCAAAAAGCTGCACGGCCAATCAGCATTTACATGGAAAGCGTTCAACGCCTCCATGCAGACCCAATCTAATACACTGCCCATAAATCCCATACATCGCCCCCAAATCCAATACACTACCCCCTCCCTCCACTCTTATACACTACCCCTCCACCCAATCCAATACGCTGCCCCTTAATCTAATACACTGCCCCCACTCCCACCACTCTAATTTAACACACTGCCCCTACCCCCATTTAACACACTGCCCCCCTCCCACCACTCTTATACACTGGTCCCTCCCCCAAATTAATACACTGCCATAACCCCAATTTAACTCTCTTTCACAGCATCCACAGCACAAAGTGGCCCCAGGACTGGTGGGCCACAGAGATATTTTAATTGTGGACTGCATGCAGCCCAAGGGCCGCAAGTTAGTTCTTCTACTTATATTTGAAATAACAGGAACAGTTAATTTAATTAGTTTTCAGTCAGATGTTTTTGGCATAAATATATCAACAAAGTTGGGTAAGACCTACTTCTGACCAAGGATCACTTATACTGTATATTATTACACGACAAGAACACCCACTTTTATCAATATACGTTGATAAATTATCTGTATTATAGGCATATTTATATAGGTGATAGCTTTAAACTGACATAATTCAACATATGGTTTTGAGAAAAATTAGGATTAAAAAAAATTATTATATTTTTGAAAAGTGAACATTTTATGAGTATTATTAATCACTAAAACCTCACTATAATTTTTCTGTCACTGTTTGGTTACAGTTTTTTTTTAAATGGTTTGAAAATTAAGTGAAGTTCTGAAAGTTTGCATTATGCACATCGTGCACATGTTTTGTGGGTTGTTATTTACGTTTTTAATAGGTCAATGGTTTTGCTATTTTGAGAAGATGCAATTTTAATATTCCAGTTTTTCATCTATAATTGTATCTGGAAGAAGAAGAAGAAAGTTCTGCAGATCAGACTGTTCTGTTCAATTAACTGTTTATTAAGTAAGCTGATTGATTTATACTTCCTTTATAAATCTACCTGCTCAACATTTTTATTTGGATAACAAATGGAGCTGAACTATGAAACTGAAAAAAAAAAAAAAAAAAAGATTTGCAATGCATTCTGCTACTAAGTGTTAAAAAGGAGCCACCACTTTTTTTTTTGGTAGCATTTAGTATTTTTATTTTTTATTTTTTTTTTACCTTTATTGAAATTCACGGCAGAGGTAAGTGGAAACACACCTACATTCACTCCACAGATAGAATTATGGCCATCGTTTCCCTGAGATTGTGTTAAACAAATAACTGTTCATGAACTGCCCGAGAGGAATTATGTAAATGAAACAATTTGCATGAACTACATAGTTTTGACAATTGCATGCTTTTACATAACATATGCTTAGGGATTTAATAGTAGTACGTGATTTAATATATGCATTTACTGTGAATTTACTAACACAATGTATACAGCAGATTAAATGTTATACCTAGTTCAAGATAGCTTTATCATATTTTTATGCTATGTTTATAAAGTGCCATTACATTCTGCAGCGTTGTCCAGGTTATTTACAAAAGTGAAAAAAAAACCACGGAGTATAATATACATTACAATATAAGAGACTATTCACAATTTGACAAACTACTACAGGAGGAGATGACAGCCATATTCCCATGGGAACTTACAGATCAGGGGCAGAGCCAGCACCAGCAGACTAAAATAAAGGTAAGATTTTAATATATTTAGTGGTACAAGGGGAATCATGGGGTCTTGATATTGTTTTTAACACTATAGTAGGCCTGCACAACCTGTGGCCCACCAGATGTTTTTGAACTACAGCCCCCGTGATTCTTTGAATAATAAAAAAAGCCAGCGCCCATGATTCATTTCTTGAAACAGATAGCCGACGCCTGTGTTTTTTTTTTTTTTAATGAAACAGATAACAAGAGAATCATGGCTGATAGCCAGGGGATCATGGGAGTTGTAGTTTAAAACATATATAGAGTCACGGAATTTGAGCCTGCACTATAGGGTTAGGAATACACGTTTGTCTTGCTGTCTTTTTAGACAGATCTATTTCAAAAGGATAAAATACAATGCCACCTTATTTTACAAATGGTGCACTTATTACATAGTGATAGTAACAAAAATATACAATAAAAAAAAAACAAGCTTGCAATAATCAACCAATTTTTACTCTCAATGCATACAGTGGCACAAAAAGAAAACCAGTACTGCAACCTAGAAAGTAAAATTTTCCCATCCTCTGCGTGGTGAGGTGAACAACCATTATCATGCCCTTCTATGTCACCTCTAAGCTATGACCTTACAGTTTAAACCACCTCACCTAATCCGATTGCTGATGTTAGAGGTTAAAGGAACACTCCAAGCACCATAACTACAACAGCTTACAATGGTGATTATGGTATCAGAAGTACCTTGGCAACTTCCCAATGTAAAGAGCCAAACCATTTTAGAATGATTTAACCTCTTACCTGGGGTCTCTGGGCACCATTCCCTGCCTCCACTACTCCCAATGAAAAGTTACACAGGAGCTTCGGTCAGCTCTCCTGAGCTAGGCCTGGCAATGCAGGGTAAATTTATTGGCTGAGAGCATCAGTCTGTGCAACCACTGCAGGGCTTATCTCAGACTAGTACTTTCTGGCTGATGGAGTGTGACCAGTAAACCCATGTCTAGAAACCAAACTATTGTAAATTGGTTTGTATTGTAAAGTGCTGCGGAAAAAGTTGATGCTATTTAAATAACAATAATAATAATAACATTAATAATTCCTTTTAATGAAAAACACTTTGAAAAGACTCTTCCACGTACCAATTACTCCTGGGTCACCATGAAAATTTCCTCACCAATTAGTTCTATATTTAGGGGGACAAGGTTTTTTTGCAAATGCTCTTCTGTAATTTGTAACGACATAACCTTGTGTCTTACAAGTTTGTAAAGGTACACAAAAAACATAGCTTTGTTTGCGGGTGCATGTATAAATGCATTTACATGTTTATATTTTCTACAGCCTTGCTTATTTTTAAGCAGTCACACACATTGCTCTTTCAGGATGATATCTTTAGGTCTACATTTCTTTTGAATTAATCACTTTCATGAAAATGCCAGATTCAAAAGCAAATGAGTTAAAATACATGCAATTGGTACAATTGCATGTATTTAATCACCATTATTATTTCATTGTAATAGTACTAATAGGGAAGTATGAGCTTTTTTAGCTGGTTAAACCCTCAGCTAAAATTTGAAATTAATCAAAGGTTTTTACGGTGACAGGAAATGTTAACACATCTCATAAAAAAATACAAAGGTAGCTATTTATTTTTTATTTTTGCGGTACTAATTACTGAATTTTATAACATGACAGGAAGCTTCATATTTGCTTAAAGGACCACTATAGGCACCCAGACCACTTCAGCTTAATGAAGTGGTCTGGGTGCCAGGTCCAGGTAGGTTTAACCCTTTTTTCTATAAACATAGCAGTTTCAGAGAAACTGCTATGTTTACAAATGGGTTAATCCAGCCTCTAGTGGCTGTCTCATTGACAGCCGCTAGAGGCGCTTCAGCGCTTCTCACTGTGATTTTCACAGTGAGAAGATGCCAGCGTCCATAGGAAAGCATTGAGAATGCTTACCTATCGACTGGCTGAATGCGCACGAGGAGCCGAGGAGGAGGAGATTCCCCAGTCTGGCTTTGGAGAAAGAGGTAAGTTTAACCCCTTCCACCCTCTAGAGCCCGGCGGGAGGGGGATCCTAGGGTGGGGGCACCCTCAGGGCACTATAGTGGTCCTTTAAGTCTCTCTTTACTAGAACCCCACAGCAGCACATTAACATAGAGAGAAAAACACCAGAGACAAAAAAACTCAGGAATCCATAAAAGGCTTCTCCCAACCAACTATTTCCTCTTTCTTTGCTGCTCTGCAGTCAGTACAGGTCAGAGTACCACTGCCTCCTGTTTTATATGGGTGGTTGTGGGCATTGGCGGATCCAGGGGGGGGGGCAACGGGGCAATTGCCCCCCCCGAGAAATCCGCCGGTCTCCCTCCCCTGCCAGCCGTGCAATGTGCCTGCGGACCGGGGAGGAAGATCAGAGATCTCCCTCCCCGGTCCGCAGGCACCGTGCTTACAGCCGGCGGGGGAGGGAGGGAGAGGGAGGACCCGGAGCTCAGTCTGCAGCTCCTCCGGGTCCTCCTCGCTCGAGATTTGGAGCGTTGCCGCGGTTACCATGGCAACGCTCCAAATCTCGCGAGAGTGAACTCTAGCCCGGGAGCTGCGGGCTAGAGTTCACTCTCCACACTGGACCACCAGGGAATCCCACTGGGACCACCAGGGATCGAAATATGTCCCCCCTCCTCCCCAGTAAAGGTAAGAAGGGAGGGGGGACATAGGATATTTATTTTATTAAATAATAATAAAAAAAAATATTATTTAAAAGCCTCCTTCCCCCCCAATTACACACACTGCCCCCCCATACCACACACTGCCCCCCCCATTACACACACTGCCCCCATTACACACACTGCCCCCCATTACACACACTGCCCCCATACACACACTACCCCCATACACACACTGCCCCATACACACACACTGCCCCTGAGCCTGTCCCCATACACGCACACATGCCCCCATGCACACTTCCCTAAAACATTGTCCCCATACCACACACGCTTCCCCACAAACACTGTCCCCATACACACACTGTCCCCATACACACACTGTCCCCATACACACGCATGACCCCCAGCCACACACACACTGCCCCTGAAACACTATCCCCATACACCCACCTGTCCCAATACACACACTGCCCCCCATACACACGCACTGTCCCCATACACACACACTGTCCCCATCACACACACTGTCCCCATACACACAC